GGAAAGAAACAAGTTAATGACAATACTGTTCAAGAAAATGCTATGGATGTCTTTTTCAGCTTTTTATTTCGGTTGCGAACATTATACAGAATTCATAAGACGGATTTCCCTACAATGTTGTAGATGGAGAATGGACAGTTTGCAGATTCATGCCAGGTGAAGACCGGTATTAGTCTGGGTTACAAAAACCCTATAGAATCTGTTGCGGGCTAATACAAATATGAAAGTATTTTTACCCAGCTAACACTTCAAAAACGTATATAAAGAATACGTTAACAACAGGCAGAAACTAATAAATACAAAATGTATGGTTTACTTGTTACTGTCAGCATTGTGCATGGTCATAAGTCTAAATATACATCCACTATTGTGATGATGTGGGGGAAATAATCCCAAGGGATGTTAGATATAGATCCAAAGTTTTCGTGTTCAATTGATGGCGCATGTTCTGCATGATTTGAGTCTAAACCTTTGGAACAGAGTTGTTGGTAAACGGTTGAAAAATCGCAACCAACAAGGTCGGAATGATGTGTGTATGTGAAACTGTGTATTTGTGATAGATCAAACAATAAATGAACTCAAAAATGATAACAGAGTTATTAAGTACAAATGGTAATGTTAATATAAATAGGTTAAATGTTATAAACACAACAAAAATTAGAGACGTTACTTAATTCACCAGGTTTGCGCGTGTTCTAATTGAGTCTGGTACGAAAAATCCACAATTATAGATGATTGAAGATTTCAGTAAGATTGATGAACTCTCAGTAGTATAATCCAACGTAGATTATTATATATTCCGACTACAGTCTATAGATGTAGACAGTATTTGATTTAGATTTCAGTTAACACAATCACAAGCGAATGGAGAACGAGAGGTATATGTGTAACAGTGTATTTGTTAGCAGTTAACGGACTGTGTCGTGCTATGAATGCAACACAACAGAAGGAAGTGTTCAAGGTTATTCACTTCAACAACACGTACAATCATTTAATGATAAATGTATATGCAGTGAAAAATTGACTAATAACATCAAAAAACTATTTACAAAATTAGCTTATCAGGCATATCTCCACATATTTAGCACATGGTAATTAGTAACATATGGGAGAAGTGGGTAGGAAGTCAACTTAAACAAAATTCTTTGATCACTTAGGTGTTTTTATAAGTTGAGAAGGATCATGAAAAGTTAAAAATGAGGAAAAAACGTTTTCACAAATCAATTTTATTTTAATCATCCCCAAAATCTTTCTCGTCACTACGGAGTACCTGATTAGTTCATCAACCTCACACGAAACCCCTATGACGAACTCGACTGAAATTTCACGCATAAATGGCGGCTCACAGGTACATTTGAAGTGATGACAGATGGAAAACAAGGCTGCTTACTGACAGCTCTTTTATTTTTGCTAGTTGTTGAGTGGATTGTAAAGACACCCAGATCTCATGAAATGTAGTGGATACCTTGGATATATTTATATAGCATATGCATGTCCACTTTCAAAATGAGTATGAAAGAAAAAACCAAGAGAAGTATAATTATTTTTAAACAACTATGGTTAACCATGGAGTCATGATCAAGTAAAAGCACTATCTTTGTTGATTTCTGATAAATATAAAGAAAGGACTATAATGGAATTTAGGGTCTAATATACGCTGATTACTGATTACTTGAGTCAATTAAGTGTGGCGTTGATGAAAGCTGAAAAACAACTTATTCTGAAATCATTCTGGAAAGTTAAAAACATTGATAATGTAGGCATCAAGAGTGATGAATTAAAAGAAAAGTAATCAAAAAGAAGGCTTGGAAGTAATTTACGTGTAAATGCCATTGGTATATCAGGCTGGGTCAAAGTTACATTTACTTTCGCATATATATATATATATATATATATAATCGATCCTGTGTAAGGTTTCGCATCAGATAATGGGGCGGTAACCCGATCAGTATTCAGTGTTTGTACGCATAGTTACAATTGATGAGCTCTCATTTTTGAATTAATTCTGTAACGAGGTTAAAAATCATCATGTGTGGTGTTGTTAATAGATTCTGTTTTTCTTTCTATTGCAGGGCAACCAAGAATAAATGCTTTAGAAGAAAAAGAGCAAGCTCTGCATACACTGAACCTACAGGATGACTCATAAGACTGTTTTGTAAACTAGCTCTCCCTTCTGTACATAACCCGCGGATTTTAATTTTCAAAATAAACGACTGATGGCTTCATTGTGTGTTCTCTCTCTTGGTGTGAAGTGCTCGGTTAACATTGTGTGTTTTGGTTTCAGGTCTTTCCCGCCTGTCAGTGACTGCTGATTACACGTGTTACAATTGTATATTATATTTTTGTGGATTACATTTAAAAACTTTTGTTCCTCCCGAATTCTACTTTCAGAATTTTTGGATTTTATCATCAATTCTATAGTTAAATAGACTGCTAGTCACATTGCGGACTACTTCAATCTTAATTTCAATAATATTTTTGTTGACCAATAAGATTAATTTTCTATATTTTTAATGTTCAGGAAACAATTCCCAATTTGAATTTTTTGTTCTAAAGGTATTTTTATGTGGTACTCTATACAAGCTAAACAAACCATTAACTTAATTATTTCAAATATCAGTAGTTTTCATGTACAGAATGAGATGCAAACACCTGTGATCAGTTAATTATACTAAGAAACGTTTCTTTTAAGAAAATCATAGGGGCATTCATATTGCATTAGAAGAGTTGTTTCTTGAAAATTTGACTATCTCAAACTAAGAAGGTGAAAGTTTGGAAAAAATGTAAATTTATGAAACAAATATGAGGAGAATAAAGAGCATTCGAGAATTACCACTCAGTAACTCATTTTTCCAGAAATCAAAGTTGCCTCGGTCATCATGTTTTGCTCATTGACCGTTGTTCTGTGTCCGGTACTATGCATTCATCTATTTCGTATAAAATGGTGAAATAATTTGGTGAAGAAACAAACTTCTTTGTAGTAGATTAAGACAGTGAATAAAAATTCTTCTTCGAATGCCTAGCACTACCTTTACAAGAGAATATATAATAAATATTTGTACACAGAAAAAGTGTGCAATGTTGTAGCAGTTTCATTGTGGTGAAATATTTACGTGATACTGAATTATCGTTTTATGGAAGTGTTTTTCTCTGTAAATAGCGCATATAATCTCACCAAAAAATCCTATTGTGGTGTATGCTACTTATGTCGACAAACATAAGTAGTATGGAACGTCGACAGAAAGTGGGAAACCTGACAGTAGAAGGTTGAAATGATCGAATCGAAGAGAAGGGGAACAGAGTAATTGTTATGGCAATAAAGGAACGATGATGTTTAAGACAATTGATGGAGGATTTGCAAATGAAGCAATGAATGTATGATTCATTTGATATTGCTTTACTTGAATCTTCCCATTAATGTTTTTAGGACTGAAATTGATCGGTCTCTTATTGGCATATGTGCATACTGTGCGTACGCCTCGATAAGAGACTGATCAATTTCAGTCCTTAAAACATCAATGGGAAGATTCAAGTAAAGCAATATCAAGTGAATTAAACTTCAACTCATTGCACAAGCAAGTGGCTATCAGGACTCAGTAGCTAAGTGGATAACGCGATGGCGTTTGAAGCGAACGGTACGGAGTTCGAGTCCCAGGGTGGACATCAACTCTGAGATGCAGGTACATCCAGCTGACGAGTCCCAAACAGGACGAAACGCGCGTCCTGGATTCCACTGTTAGTCATGGTCCATCTTTGCTTATAATGAATGTATGGTTTTCACATCTGATGAAAGAACTCTGTAATTGTATATTTAAATTCACTGGTTGTCCCCACCTGTGTTCTTGTTCAACACACTTTGTTGCAGTAAGAACTGAGTAGAGGCACGTATTATTACGTTTAATAGTCACTCATGTTTGCACGAATATCATAATTTATGATTTATATGATTCACAATTCTGCTCTTGAACTACAAATTTTCAGTTTTGCAAATTAAGCATTTATTCATGTAAATTCCTGCCTGAAAAAAGTTTGAGTGAATAGCTAAGCGATGATTTATAATCAGAAAGATTGAATATTTTGAAAAAAAGAAACAAAAATTGCAAACAGTATGCCATAATATTATCATTAACTTGACCTGCCCTATAGATGATCTGACACTAGAAACAATGAGTACATTTGCATACGAAAGTTGTGATATTTGAATAGCAAGATATTTCTACCAATTGTTGGCCAACTATTAGTCGTACTAAAGTTTTATACGTTTAATTTAATCGGACTTTAATGTTATATTCAAGAAAATAAATACGAAAACTAGAGAAAAAGTCCCATGTTAACCTTAACTAACCATAGTTAATTTTATACGAATCTTTCGAAAATTTCCATTGATTTCAATTGATTTTTACCTCCATATTTTGATTGTTTCTATAGTAATCTGAATGAATGAATTATGCAGATATCTTACTGAAAAGATGACACTATTAAGGATGGACTGATATTAAATTAGGTCTGACTGAACAATAAAGTGGAATGAACTTTAGTTTTGTTTAAGTATATTCTACAGTTAGAATAGGTTTTTCAGCAAAAGTCATAACTCGCCATTAACTGTATAAAAGTCAGAATAATTAATTCGTTAGTTTATATGACAAGTATTTGAACAAAAACTTATAACGATAATAATATTCGCAAATGTAACAATAGTCGATAAAAACAAACTATTAGCCACTCCTGTTTACATAAATAATATATACTGTTTTGTTCTAATGATTTACAAAAGAGAATAACATAGGTAAAACAAAGGGTCATTCAATAATTTATGTTCATTTCCATGTATTGTTATTAATTTACTATGAATACACAATTAAAAGATCAAAGTTAACGCAATAACTAAATATTTACAACACAAATAAAATGTCAATATATTGTTATTGTCAAAATAATAGACGACTGGAAAAAGAGAAGTATTTTATGTCGATTTCTAAAATATTATTCGTTATAAGAAAATGTCATTAAACAATCAACCAAGAGGGAAATATAAGGAATGTGGTTTTTTTGGACTATATAAAGAGAAAGTATTGCAGGTAATTACGGAACACAAATTCAGTTCAAAACTACGATGCATGTAAGTTTATGACAAATAATATCAATATTATATACACTAGAGTAGAGTATTACCTTTCTCGAGATTTATAATACTTCTCTTTTCATGATTTAATACAGGTGTATCGCACAAATTTCTTGATTTATCCTTTGACATAATAGATGCTTACCATACTCACGTGTTATAGTTCTTGTTCCAGTACATTTTGCTTGTATTCTGCTCATAACATAAAATATTATCCTTCGCAGATTAGATAGTTTACAAATCTTGATAGATGTTATAAGCAGAGGTGGATGATCGTTAGTGGTGAAATTCAGGAAGCATGTTTCATCCTATTTGGAACTTATGAGATGGATATACTTGAATATCAGAGCTGATATTCACTTTGGTACTAAAACCCAGTACCGTTCGCTACAACATAGTAGATATTGCTAAACCATAATAACAAACTTATTATATTATTTAGGAGTATCAAAATTCTTTTTCTTGTTCTCATACTGAACATATTACTTGTTTTTCGTTATGTTTAATTTTAGATTAAATTTTTATTCGCAGTTTTTTTACTTACCATAAATGTGATTTGTTCACAGACGTCACAAGGTAAGTAGCACTAAATGGTAGTTTGTTATTTTCAGTATTGTTTAGTAATTTCTAACTTTTATTATATAATATTATCTCAATGAGTCCACTTTTGTCTGACTACTCTCTGAATATACTTTGTAAATTCAAAATAGTATACTTATTAATTTCAGTCAATTTGTGATATTAAATGCCTAAAGACTGATAATTAATTTATAAACTAAGATAATGTTTTAATATTTTAATGTATTAGGTTGCAAAAGGATAATGCTAATTTAAATGATATTGAAATATAACTATATTTTCATAATTATAGGGAATGGATTTCATTTGAATCTTATGTTATATTTCTACAATGTAAAGTAATTGACTTTTAAATCTTATATCATTTAAGACATTTTACTTTACTTTACTCAAATATTGTTATAATTTGTCGTTTGAATACTTATTGTCTTGGCTTTTTTAATGCTACTTTTTGTATCTGGACGTCGCCGATTGTTATATCGGAAACGCTTATCACTTATACTCGAAACGAGGGACCTCTGTAAATAATCATTGTGAAAAGCTTGAGTGTATTTATCATAGAAAGTGTTGAACTAACTTAAAAAACAATAATATATCTCTAGATGAGTAGTAATATTGTATTTTAAAGGTAAATGAACATGTGCAGAAGGCAAACACTAAATGTATACATTAATTATTGTTCATAACAAAATGAAGATGTTTAACTATAATTAATTAGTTTTATGATATTTATCAATGAACACCAGTGATTTCTCGATAGAAAAAAGATTACAAATTTCATATTGAACTGAATAATTATAAAATTCTAAAGGAAATAAAATAGGAATAATGCCCTATTTTTCATCTCAATAATCTATCATATCACCGAAATAAATAACCATATTAGATTGATTCACCTATAGACGTTTATTTGATATAAATAGTAGACACTATCTACGGTACAGGTGAATGTTTTCGTTATTATTCTGTACTCTATATTACATAATTTATTAGTGGAGTTTTTGTTTATTATTCTGGATAATATTCCCCCCCCCTAACTTCATGCAACTCAATAACCATATTAGATTGATTCACCTATAGACGTTTATTTGATATAAATAATAGACACTATCTAAGGTACAGATAAATGTTTTCGTTATTATTCTGTACTCTATATTACATAATTTATTAGTGGAGTTTTTGTTTATTATTCTGGATAATATCTTCACCCCTATAAAAAAAAATAATTTATTTACATTAATTAGGTAAAAATCAAAATGAGAAAATGGAATTAGAACAAATTAAAAAAACACCACAATATCAACAGGTCAGAACAAAAGTGATAAATGCATTATCAGATAAAATTGATAATTATGTATTGGATCAAATAAGAAAAAAACCATAATTTATTGTTTCAATGAATGATTTGAAAAAAAAATAAATCAATAAACAAATTGTTTGTTTTTATTAGACAATAAACAATCTTTTTCTTTTTTTTTCTTATCTTATCTTATTATTTTATTCTGTTTAATATTTACAGGAATATTTTGTAGTATCATAATAAAAAAGAAATTAGGATTGGTTTAATTAGTAAATAAAAATTTAAAACAAAACAAAAAAACAATATTCTTTGTTTCTATGGAGTTTTTCGTAATGTTCACGTAGAAAAGTATCAGTAATTTGATCGACATTGAGGAGTTCAATACTAAGATGAATCGGTTATTTAGTGCTTTCAGATTTTTCATGATGATCTAGCTTTAATTGATTCATGAATTTAATTATTAAATTACTACAACCTACAAAAAAACTACTCTATGATTATAATAGTTATTTCTTCATAGGACCATAATGAAATAAACATGTTAATTGAATTAGTAAAGCTAATACTTATTGAAACAATATATAATGTAAACATGATTTCCAATTGTTTATTGTTGATATTTTTCAATAGAAAATCAATTGCTTTTATTGGTATAAGGGTATTGTGGACCGCGGGGTGGCTACTCTAATTTCTACCGACTGACCAACTTTAGATATCCCAGTACGACCCCAATACTGTTCACCAATCTCCAATATATCAGAACACGAACCGTAGATGAAATTTTTTATGGGGTCAGAACAAGAATAAGAATAGGAATAACACTTTACAGACAAATGTATATTTATACAGTTAGGACTACCGCGAATATTGACCAACAGGAAAATGACACCATTTCGCGTTCAACGATAGAATTAGACTTAACAGGATAATTTTTCGGATATTTTTCTAAATATCCCAACAAAGGGTCTAATAAATTGATGCCATCGAGAAATCAGAAATAAATAATGTCTGTTTTTTTTTAAAAATATGTAGCGGTAATAATTCCATCAGGCAAGTGGATTAATTTTTTGCATTTGAAATGGCAAGTGTTATATTCGAATTTCAACAAAAGAACACAACTATCATGGGAATACAATTTTTTTCTGTTGGCAAATTGGAAAATGAGCTGTGTGTAAGCTCTGAATAACATTAATAAATCAAAACATGAGCTTACGTTATGCAGATAATCTTTTACATTTTAATATTAGAATTAAAGATAAAAATAATGTGATTTGAAAATCTGATAAATTAAGATTCCTAATTTCGTTATTTAGCCAGCAGCCAGTTAACAAATCTCAATAACTAATATCAGACAGTTTGATTTGAGATAGTACTTTGACACAACTATTCACAGTTATGCAATAACGAACTATTTCAGAAGATATATAATGATTCTTATTATCAACATCCTGTATTATATTAGATGACCTAAAAGTGATATATAGATGGGATTTTTAAAGTGATAAACCATTACATTGCTATTTTACCTCTTCAAATGTAATATTATGTGGGTGTAGTAAATCTCGAATCTAATGCTTATCAGTGTCATTAGTCATATTGATTGAAAAGTAAATTTCTGAAAATGTCTGTAAAATTGAATAAACTTAGACAAAAACGGCTAATTGGAAAGTAGCCATTAAAGATTATGGACTTAGGGTTAATAGATACGTAAAAAACATGAAATGTAGGGACATAATATATTTAAGACTGATGTTCAGGAGAATTATAACAAAACACAAGGGTATCAAAAAATCTTCACGAATAAGCATTTATGTAGATTCTTAGACAAAAACATCAAATATGTAAACAAATCTAGGTTGTAAAAGGTCAAGTAATTTATTTGACAATAAGGAAGTGGTTATTATAACAGCAAAAATTCATCATACAATGTGTTGAAACACAACTAAAAATTGTTACTATAAAGATACTGTTTGAGATTAATGACAAAAAGTATTCGCAAGTGGAAAGTGGTACAATTAGCTTGTTATTTATACAAGTTACATTGTGAATAACCTAGTTCTTGGAGTTTTGTTGGCATTTATCAAGCATTTTAAAATCACTTTTTCTGTTTATTTCAATTTATATGTATAGTTTAATAACATTTTGTTATGAGTTTTTATTATACAACCAGCTTCATGTACAATTATTTCACGTGACTGAAGTAAAGTGCTTGTAGATTTGAAACTTCTCACCCAATAAGTGATTGATTACACATAATTTTCTGGAGTTCACTACAAATTCAGAATAGATGATCTCTTTCACAAAGGAAAATATGGATATAGTTAGAGTTAATCGCATTAAATCCTACTGACAGTTTTTTGCCATTTAATAGTTGAAGCTAGACCACTATGGAAAACCTGAAAGCACTGGACGGGCGTTTTGTTCTAGTATAGGACTCCTCAATAGTGCGCACCCACGATCACACCTTGCGAGATTCGAACCCAGGATCTATCAGTCTCGCGCGCGAACTCTTAACCTCTAGACCACTGAGCCGGTATCCAACGCCGTTGAAGTCTAACTTTAACCAATCCACTTTTTAGTTAGCTTAAATCCACGAGTCACTTAATCAATTAAGATTTGTTACAAATTCCAAATGTTTGTGTAAAACAAGTTATTAATTTTCATCAAATCAACGGAATTTATCAATTCTCAAAAATTCTAATTCCATATCCAATACAATCAAAATGTTCTAATTATCAGAAGATATTTACAAATAAATACTATTGTAAATTCGTATTTCCATAATTCGAAACTTGATATAAATAAAAATCATTGATTATTTCAATAAGAGACTAATCAACTGTTTATTTCCTATTGTTAAATATAACCCAGAAGATATTAATAAATTGAATAGTTCAGTTATATAGTGATGCGTGCTACTTATATTGATATAAGTAGCATATGACGCGAGTCGGGAATGTAATGTCTGGTAGCAGAAGATGGGGAATATCAAAAAAGGAAGAGCGGGGAATAGAAAACAATTAGTATGGAAATGCAAGAACAACGAAGTTCGAGACAATTATTGAACATTTTGCAAATTAAGTATTATCGTATGGTTTTTCTATTTTACTAAGTAACTTTGTAATGTTGTGCTAAGCATAAATCGATCGTCCTCACTCGTGTTCCGTTCACTACAATATCAGGTAAATGAAACTTAAATAAAATGTAACACATACCCATATTTGTATAATTTCCAACAACAATAATGGTGTAACATTTAAATATCATTTATTAAAATCAAATTTTTGTTTTAATCACTCAAAAAGCAAACAAACAAACGGTTATTTGTTTATTTTAAAAGATGAATTAATATTAATGTTATCATTAAAACACAAGATATTAATTATTATTATTATTATTCAATTGCCTTTGAGTAGTTTATTGATTTTTACGAAAATGGTCCAGAACATATTTATCAATTCTATCTGATAATGATTCTATAACTTTTTCTTTAGCTTTTTGAAATTCTTTTGTTGCTTTAATTTCTTCAAATTTTTCTACTACTTCATCTTCAGAAGGACCTGAATTATGTGGAAAACAGATTTTCTCATATAAAAGAAGAACTAAAGTGATCAGCCAAATAGAAAATAACCTATAACAATTATTGTTGATAGTCAAATTTTGAGTGGAATACTTGACGATGTGTTTATGCTAAATGTATATCGATTTTTCGAGGTATACAAAATAAGAAGTTATTGAAACAATAATACGATTCAAGTGTATGATATTCATGATCGAACCAATCTTGCTACATTTCAGCAAATGAAAGGATTAGGAGAATATAACATGTATCGTAGGGAGAGATTCATTTGGGATTAAATAAAGAAACATTGATGAATAGTGTTTTAGAAGGACTATACAAAAATGAAATATTTCAACTGAAAATAACCTCCAGCACGATGTTTTGATACTTACCAAGTAGATAAAACAACTAAAAATAGTGGAACTACCATTATCTTGGAGATAACTTTGCAATTTACTAATTACACTATGAGGAGTTCTTCCGAATTCTTGATTATTTAATGTCAACATACAGGATTTTCAACACAATAACCGATTACACCATCACACAATAACTCATTGCATCACATTGTCTCTTTAATTATCCGAAACAAATGATTCATTTTAGATGTTTGTTTGCATACATGAGTTATCGAGTCAAAGTAAGCGAATTCAAATAATGATGAACCACGAAAATCGATTCACAGTTGCTTGACAAACATATATTTGAAATAATTCATCGAAATCTTAAAGATTGGTTAGAGAAACCTAATTCCTCATTCAACACTGAAATACATGCTGAATACAAAGTGTCTGCATATCAGTACCAGGGAGACACCTTTTTGTACTTATACCCTCCTTTCTCAGCATTTTTAATAAAACAGTATTATTTATCACTCACCTGTTGCGGATTGAGATAAAATAACATCCAGGGTTATCAGGAAAATGACAAACAGATATTGGATCTGAAATGAAATGTGAATAGGTATAGATTCTGTGGTAACTGTGGCAAGAACATGATAAATTGTAATAATGAGGGATGGTGTAGTAATTTGTGTGTCACCACACTGAGGCATTATTATGATGAAGTAAATTCGGATGACAAGTGAATGAAATGGAAAATATACAGGCATCATTTACAAGTATGAGAAGAAGATTGTGAAGAAGTACATTCGAATCGTGTCAGTTATCAAGTTAGTTCTACGTACACATCGTTAACTGTGGACTTACATGCATTATGTTTGTTGATGGTTTATCGTGTTCTATAACGACATCCAATTCTTTCTTCTTATATAGTCTGAGTGTCCTTATTGTTAACACTTTCTCCTTATTTGTCATTCAATGACAGTTAAGTGTAATGGATTATTCTACTGAAATATTAAACATTTCATTTCCAGTATTTTGTGAAATCAACATTATATTTTACTGTCATTTCATTTGCATTATTGTCATTTCTGAAAATACTTGTCAATATTTATGTTCTTTGATTTTTGTATTTTGAATTATAAAGTGTACTAATAGGTGGGCCTTAAAACTGAATAATA